CGCGGGGCGCGGCGCCGTGGGCAGTGAGCCCGTTTGCAAACAGCGGGGGCGCCAGCGTCAGCTTCGCCGCAGCGGCGCCGCCGCCCCCGCTCGCGTCGTCGTCGCTGCTGCAGCGGAGCGGCAGCTTCGGCGGTCCCCGGGCGAGCACGTTCGGAACGGGCGGCCTGGGCGGGGCCGGCGGCGGCGTCGGGTCGCTGCTGGCGGGCGGAAGCCTGATCGGCGGGCTTGGTGGCGGCGTGGCGCAGAGGGCGAGCCAGGTGCTGCAGCGGGGCCCCGGGCTGTCAAACTTGGGCAGCAGCCTGCGGGCCGACGGCGTGCTGAGCGCGCGCACGTGACGAAGCGGGTCATGTCATGAGGTGGCCCGCCGGCAGCAGGGCGCGGCGCGGGGCGGCATGAGTAGGCCTGGTGCAGGTGTCGTGGCTGAGCTTCTGTACACATGCAAGACGGATACGACAGCACTGAGCGGGCGCATTCTGAACCTCATCTCAAAATCCTTGTGTAATTACTATTGAGTCTCTGACATTGGTTGCCATCAATCACCATCAAATTCATGCGTTGACAAGCAACCAAACTGCTCCAACAGCAATCAAACTGCTCCAAAAGCAATCAAACTGCTTCAACAGCAATTGACCTCCTCCAATCGCAACCCAATCTGCCAACAGCAGCAGCATGACAGGTCAGACGCAGCGGCCGCCGCGCGCACCCACCCCTGAGGCGGTCGCCGCCGCTGCGTCTGCTGCCGCCTCACGCTGGCCGCTGCTCGAAAACAAACGGGTCAGCAATTCTCAACCCTCTGCTGCTGCTGCTGCTGCTGCTGCTGCTGCTGGTGGTGGTGCTGCTGCTGCTGCCCCATTGCCGCCAGCGCATCCTTGAGCTGCTTGTTCTTCTCATGCACCCTGGAAGCCGCCCGCAGCAGCCGCTGCAGGCTGCGAGGCGACACCGGCAGCGCAGCATCCGCCGCCGCCGCCGCCTCCGGGCCCCCCTGGTCGTCCCTGCTCGACGCGGCGTCGGCGGCGGCGCAGTCAGCCACTGTTGATGCCGCCGGCGGCGGCGGCAGCGCGGGTACTGGTGCGGTGGCCAGTGCGTCCTGCAGCTGCCCCGCCAGCCGCTCGTTGTGGCGCCCGAGGCGCCGCACCGCGCCCTCCAGGCAGTCCACCGCGATCTGCGGAGCGGGCGCGTTTGAAATGACAGCCAGATCTCATTACTCACGGTGCGTGGGCCGGGTTGCTGCGCCCTACTTGGACCCATGCATGCCAAAGCACCTCAAAGGGGAAGCCACAGAAGAGATGGCCCAAAGCAGGCCAAGCCCTGGAAGGGGGACGGAGTATGAAGTCGGTCGCACAGGTAGCTGACGGGCCGCGTCACTACCCCGCGGCCGGCCCACTACCAGCACCACCACCCACCACTCACCTTGGCCTGCTGCAGCTGCGCCGCCAGCGCCGACCGCTCCCGCTCCCCCGCCTCGACCCTCTGGCGGCACTGCGCCAGCTCATCAGCCAAAGCGGTACTGATCGCCTGCACCACGCCCGCCTGTTGCTGCTGCTGCTGCTGCTGCTGCTGCTGCTGCTCGCGCGCCTGCGACAGCATGGCTTGCAGCGCCGCCGCGCGCTCCTGCGCGAGCCGGGCTTCGGTGGCGCGCGCAGCGAGCGCGTGCGCTTCTACGCGCCTCTGCACCTGCGCGTCCCCCTCCCTCGCCTTCGCCTCTGCCAGCTGCGCCCGCAGCTGCAAAGTCTCCGCAGCATGCTGCTGCTGCTGCTGCTGCTGCTGCTGCTGCTGCTGCACGGCCGCGGTGCTGCCGTTAGCAGATGCTCGCGCCGCCGCGGCCGCGGCCAGCTGGTCCCGCAGCAGCGCGGCGGCCGCACGCGCGTGCGCGAGCTCGAAGCCGCGCGCCTCGAGCTGCGCCGCCGTCGCCGCCTGACGGGCCGAGAGCTCGCCGTTCGCGGCCCTCAGCTGGGACAGCTCCTCTCGCGCCCTGCCCAGCTCCACCTCCGCCTCTCTGGCCGCCAGTCCCAGGGTCGCACGCACCCGACGCTCCGCCGGCGCCTGAGCTGCCACAGGCGAGTCGCCGCCCGCCGCGGCGCCCCAGTCGGGCTGTTGGAACCGCTCGCTGTCCGCGTCCGCCCACCGCCGCCGCGGGCGCTTCGCCCCTGCGCTGCCGCCGCCGCCGCCGCCCACGTCGCAGCCGCCGGCCCCCCCGCCGCACTCGTTGTTGCCTCCTGCCAAATCGCACGCGTCTGTTCCCGCGTGCCGCCTCGCCGCCACCTCCCGACCCCCCGCCTGCGTCCCCCGCTCCACGGCCCAACTCCATCCCCTGTCCCTCGCCGCCGCCGCAGCCGCCGCCGCGTGCCGCCGCAGCACGTCGCACTCCGCCGCCGCAGCCGCGGCCGCCGCCCGTGCCTCGGCCAGCTGCGCCTGCAAATCCCTCGCGCCCTCGCGCCCCTGCCGCCGCGCGGCCTCCGCGGCCGCGAGCTGCTGCTGCAGCAAGCCGCAGACGCCGTCCCTGTCCGACGCCGCGGCCAGCAGCGCGGCCCTGAGCCGGTCGCGCTCACGGCGCAGCGCCTCTGCCGCGTCCCCCGCCCCCGCCTCCGCGGCCGGCAGCGGAGCCTCCGTCATCGCCGAGGCATCCCTAACCTCGGGAGCGCACGAGGTTGCCGCGTCGCAGGCTGGGGCTCGCGGACCGCCCGGCGCACATGTCGCCGCATCTTCAGTCTGCACCGCGGCCGCGACGCCGCTGCCGCCGCCGCCGCCGCCGCCGCCGCCGCCGCCGCCGCCGCAGGCGGG